GGCCAGTCAGAGGTGGTATTTACCGGTTCTCTGAACTACTCAAAATTTCCACTACCGGTTCTCCAGAACTGGTCAGAACCTGCTGAATACCACCTTTGGGGTGGAGGGGTCTCTCAGATAATATAGGCAGTCCTTGTTTCATGACAATTGGCACTGGGAATGGTTGTTAAATGAAGTAGTTACTAAGTGAGATTATGGCTGTGTTTATAATCTTACTTCAGCTTTCCTTTACTTCGCAGACCAGCAAATGTCATAAATGTTAAGACTGGTCACAAAGTTGATTTTTCATCAGTACAATTTACCTGTACACTTTTTCAGAACTGATCCCAAAAATATGTCCAGCACAGGTATCACGTAAAACTTCTATTCTGCCACCACCCCCGCTATCCTGGATATCTCACCTGTTCTTCCATAGTGTCATCGGCATCCATATCAAATAATGAGCCTAAGTAAGCCAAGTGGAAGACAGCAAGAGCCCCAAAGAGCAGGTTGAGGAGACGAACCCAGAGATTCTGTAGTAGCAGAAGAAGCATCAGAGGTTTAATTCAACTGTAAACAAGCAGGATTCACCCCACCACTCCCCCAACCAACATAAATAGCCTAGTCAAGAGGCTTCACATAAGAAGCAACATGTTGCTTATATCAGGCTTCAATGCTCTTCAGACCAAAAAGCTGAGAAAGATTTCAGGATCAAGAAGGCCTGACCCCACTGGACCCAAGTACAATCTTTGCTACAATCAGTTGAGGCTGCAGGGGATAGGGTTGAAGCAAGGTGTCAGAGTAAGGACAATTTAATAGCTGACCAGTTGCTGTAAGGCTGTAAACTGAGATGATGACATGAGGATGAGTCAGCAGGCTTACTGCCACTTTAAGAAACCGTATATATAAGGGAGGCTATGTGAGGGCATCTCTTTCTCCTCGTGTATCTCTCTCCATTGTGGTTCCCTGTGTAGAGTTGAAGATTGCTTGCTTGCTGCGTATTTGTCTAACATGTGTATGTATGTATATATAAGTCTTGTATATAAACCACTGTTTATATACAAAGGCAAAACCACTGTGTACTGCATTTTGCTCCTAGGCTGTCTCAAAATAGTAGTCACGCTGTGCACACTCTGACACAAGGAGTGGACAAGGCCAGAGTCGGAAGGAGGTAGGGATATTTATTATTTCACTGACATTCTGCTTTTCATCTCTTGTGTACTGGAAAGAGAGACAATGAGCAACAGAGGTGTGAACCCATCTCTTGCAAATTGTTGTAGAAACCAAGGGCCATATGCAGTCCCACAGTTTCAAAGTTGCACACCTCATGCTAGAACATTAATTTAGCATGAGGTGTAAAAGGGGAGGGGCTCTGATCCCTTGAGATTTCGGCACATACTTACCGTGCTGTGGCGATGTGAGCATCCTGGTTGACACTTCTTGGAGAGTATACAGGCATCAAAGATGACAGACAACCTCTTTCTGAGAACTAAATGGAAACCAGGCAAGCAAAGTTGTGATCAAAGCTGTCCAGGATTTGGTTCCTAAGTCTTGGTTTGCTTAACTAAGGAATGTTTGCTTCGAACAAATTTCCTATGTTGGAATTCAATGCAGCATTCTAATTTGTTGGCTGCGGTGACAGGAGCTTTGAATATCCTTTTCCCTTCCAAATGGAAGAGAGAAAAATACAAAAACTCAAAAAGTTTACCACAGATTGTACACCGAACTGCAAAATGACATATCTCTTTTTTGATCATTTCAGGATAATAATTATAAATCTGGTTGGCTTGTGAGCCTAGAAACAAGGAAATGGTGAATTCTAGTTCTGCTTTAGGCATAAAAGCTGGCTAAGTGACTTTGGCCATTGCTGTCTCAGCCCAACCACCTGACAAGGGTGATTGCTGTGGGGAAATGGGAAGCATGAGTGTGTTTGCAGCCTTGAGATAGAGAGAATAAAAATTAGATAAAAATTTAATAATTATCAAGGGAGGTTCTGTTTGGATTTGGATTTTTTTTTTTTTGGATTTTATTAGTATTTNGCGGACCACCAAGACTTAACTCAAGATTTAAATCATAACATTTCTTCAATCCTTCACGGACCCCTCCGTGACATCACGGCCCCTCCCCAAGGGCCCATGGACCATATGTTTGGAACCACTGCTCTAGAGTGTAAGCAACTCTTATTTGTAAGAGCAGGTTTTCACAGTATTAAGTATTACACAAGTATTACAGTATTAAGGCATACACAATTTGAAGATCCTATTCCACAAATAGAATCCTAGGGTCTTCTCAGGTGAAAAGATTTTGGGAGATACATATTTTCCTACACATAGAATGTCTTTTTGTGAACATCAACCACAATAGTTGAATCTCACGGGCTAATTTTAAAACCATGCTTATGAGATCTAAACCTTGGATTTCTTGGCCCCTTCTCTTCACCTGCAAATAAACCAAAACACCACACTGATATGGAATGAATTTTTTGTAGGGTGGCCTTCTGAGGTAGCTCAAGTTGCAGTTAAGACAGCACTTGTCTTGTAATATTAAATGCGGAGGAGAGAATTGAGTTGTGGAAGTAAAGAGTTGAGAGTTGGCTAAAATTCCTGTTCAGCCTGGTGTCCACTCAGGAGTGATGGGCTTGTCTCAGAAAAATCAAACTCCAAATGTAGTACTGGTATATCTGGGGAAACAGATTAGTGAAAATGGAAGCAAGAGAGAAAAAGTGATGATTTGGATCTTTGTTCCTACAACCCCTTTTGTTCTGAAAATCAAAATTCCAACCTATTTAACACCTCTTTATATAACAATATGGATTCATGTATAACTTCATTCTATTCTATTTTTTTTCCCATCTCAGCAGGTATCAGCACTTGGTTATGCTCTTCTTTGGACTCAAAAGCTAAGCAGGTTTAGGCCTGGACAGGTATTTGATGGGAGAACACCTGGAAATTGCAAGAGTGACGTTTTCAGGAGATAGTTGAGAAAAAACTATCTGGGAAAAGTCAACAGTAAGGCATTTTATTGCTGCTAAGAAATACTGCATGGATGTATCCATGAGGTCCCCATGTTTGGATTTTGGCTCTGGTTTTAATATTCAGCTTTTTGGTGAAGTAAGCATAACATGAATGCAATTGTTATTCTGATACCTTTTTTAAAAGGCTGACTTTATAAATGCAGACCTTTCTTAGCTTCTGAAGGAAATCAGACTGATTATAACCAACAGGACTATTTGGACGGTCATCCTACCTAGTCTAAGCATGCCTATAACTGACATAAAATCTACTTCTAGAAAAATAGAGATCCTTTATTAATTTTCTTCAAGCCCAGTGAGAGGGTGCTGATAGCAACAATTTTCAGAGGTTTTTTTTTCCGCCTGCTGTGTATTTTAACTTTTTTTGTTTAATTTTTGCATTCAGGGTATCACTGATTTTATCCTATTTGGTTTTATCTGCTGTCCAGAGTCACTTACTAAGATAGTAATTATACACATTGATTAAATAAATAAAATAGCATTTGCATATCCTGATGCTGAATAATTCTTTTTAAACGAGAATTTCCTAGTATTCATTGCCAGGAATTGGGAAGACATGCCCTAAAGAGCTCTATTTCCTGGCTAACCATTTATTTAAAAATAATTGTCCTTCATTAGACCTCCACTTGCCTTTATTTAATATGCACACTTCATACCAGCTTTTCTTAAAAATGGAAAACATCAACAATATACGTATAAAAACATGTAAAACACCAGAAAATTGCCCATACGTTTCCACTGAATATTTATTTTATAAACAACTCAAAGGCATTTAAAAAAAGAATAGCCAGTCATTTTTTTAATAGTCTACCTATGGTCCATAGCGTCTTCTACCTCACCTAGGCAAGGGGCAGAAGATATATCCTGGGATTTTAACGGCTTAGTCCACAAAAAGACTTGGAATGGAGCTAGATTGTATTCCAGCAAGGTCTTGATGCCTCCAAAACCAAAGAAGAATTAGCAGATAAACAAATGCTAAAAGGAATCAAGATCCAGGGCGTAAACATCTGGATGGAAGAAAGAGGCTCAACATGCACCAGTATCACACAAAAACAAGCATTATTTGCTGAAATATTCTCTTTGACCTTATTTTTGGCGTGACCTGTCAAAAGCGCGGAGGACAAAATCGTGCTTGACGAAAGCGCGCATGTGACGTCATCACAGCGCGATGAAAAAAAAAATTGAAATAAAATTAAAATTAAAGCAAGCCGATTCACATAAAGGTAAGGGTTAGGTTTAGGGTTAGGGTTAGGTTAAGGTTAGGTTTAGAGCGTTAGCATTAGGTTTAGCGTTAGCATTAGGTTTAGCGTTAG